CCACATTCTTCACAGTTTTTGTACTTGGTTTTGCTGCAAGCTTCCTGGGATCCCAGAAGATGACCTTTTGGAGATAATTCCCTCTTTCCTCTTATTTTCTGCATTATGGAAGTCTTGGGGATGATAATCCCTGCCCCCACCCCACTTCCAACTTCCGTACCAAGCCACAGAGTCTATGGAGGATGAGGGGGGCCCTTCTGTTCAGAATCTAGAGCAGTTAACTGATCTCTGTGAAACCTCTATAACCTGAAGACGGGATGGGTAATTTCTACTTCTCATCTTGTCTTCCCCAAACCCTGTTGACAGAAAGATTGAAATAGAATGCAAATAGATCAGAGCTGATCTTTATGGAATTTTTCTTGCAGTCCAACTCCATTCTGTGTTTGAAATACAAAGAAATCACACTTCCCTTAATAGATTAAATTTTAATACAACACATTAGGTCCGGTAAAATATGAATGCACTCCTTAAAATTTTAATCAGAAATTAGGACCCAGAAACAGGGAAGGAGACAGTAATTTTTCCCCCTTAGGATGGCTGCAGGCATGGGCTGATTTCAGGATGGGGGGCACCTGCTGGACAGACATCACAGTCAGGGCACCAACACTGGTAGAGCTACCAATGATTCCTCTTAACTCAGAGGGCAGCTGGTCACATCTGTCCCTTTCTGGAAGTGGATGGGAAAGAACTATCCTCAAAGAGGCTTGATGAGAAGAAAAGCACATCCTGTGTAGTCAGAGAGTTAAACTGTGCTTCAATTTCTTTGCTTTAAAAATGCTCACTTTTCTGTTTTCAGTTTACCAAGGAGGTTTGTAACTATGCACAGGCACCCATGCACATAGGTGTTTGAGCATGGAAATTTATATTAAGGTCATGTGAAGTAGGCTGTGGGTACTGGACCATTCTCTTCCACCCATTGAGTTTAGATGGCCCCTACCCTGGGGAACAGACGTCTTCCTTACTCTGAGAGTGGTTTCCACACTTGCTGGAGCACTTTTCAGCATTGCCTGTGGGCAAAACTGAAATGGATTTTATTGATATCACCATAAGGACGTTGGTATTCTGGATACCCATGGAAGGAGAGATTGCAGAATGGCAAGTGCTGGTGATGAAGGAAGAACTGCATTTTCCTTCGAATGCAATGCAGGCAATACTGTTCATTTTTCACTTTGATTGGGAAAAAGAGAATTTTAGCTCTGTGACTTGATTTCTAAAAATGTATGTGTTTTCCAGTGTGAAGGGACTAATAGGCAAATAAACTCTTGGATTACTCTACAACTGCATATTACTTTAGCAGCTTGATTATTAGAATACAAAGGCTTCCTTTTTCTTGTCCGGTACTAGGACTATTACAGAGATGAGAGATTAAAAAGCTACATTAAAATTAATTTAATTACACCTAAATTTTAGTCATCAAGAAAACATTCTTTTGGGAGTTCCCTTGTTTGAAATAGTTTTAGTCAATAAATTCAATATCAAACAAAGTTTGTTCAGTTATTTTAACAGTGCCCTCTTTATTTCATAAATTTATTATGCTACCTTATTTGTCATATGAAGTGGTGACAAGTGTTTAGCATTTTGGAGATCAGTTGTCAGTTACTATTAAAATCAAGATTAACTCACATTAACGATATGCATTTCTCAATACTCCCAGGTGACAACCTACATTAAAACAACTATTACACGTAATTAAGCTCAATGAAGGGGGAGGGGAAAGTGAGTGTTTAAAACACCCCAAATATTTGATTTTCCAATCCAAGTTCAGCAGGCTGCTGCCACAATAATGCTTGGGAAACTCCTCAGGGTTGCTTTCCAGTTTACATCTAATTAGGCACCTAATGAAAGAGAAGATTTTTTTTCCCCATGTGGTTTGTCTCCTTGATATTTTTATGCCTTTATTTATACACATAATCACACTAGTTAGGAAGTGCAATACCCAAAAGTTTTTCTTGTAATTCACTTGATATTATAATCTGGAGGAACTAGGTAAGAGGAGAAGACATTTGATTTACTGTTATTTTTTTTCCTCCACTCTCCATTTGGCCTGCTGGTCCAATACAATAATGATAGAAAACATACCCAAAATATTTTTATGATTTTTTACGTGGCTTCAGAGATGCTCAACAGTTTATACTAATTAGACCATCCAAAGGCTTTGGAAGATTAAGCAAATTGGACAACCCTTGTTAATTAGGGCATAATTTGAAGTTTGAAATTATATCACTGCTGAAGTAGTCTAATTAGTATGACGATATGTTAATAGACCAGCGAGACACAGTGGCAGTGGAGTTTGGTTTGGATCTCTTGAAGGCTTGCAAGGAAATCTTCCTTCCTCTACTGACATCAATAAAATATTTCTATAGACTTCATTCAGCCTTTTCACGATGGCATACAATTTATAGTACATACAATGCATTAGCCCATAGTGCTGCTCAATTTTTTCACTGTTATGAAAACTAATAAATTCGTCAAGCTGAATTAAGCATACAAATCAGATGAGGCATAGCAGATTACACGGTGAAGCACGGTGTCTCCCGAGTCTAAATGAAATTTCAATCTAATAATTCCTTCCTGGCCCAGTCATAATTTGTTTAGAGATGTTGTTCTACTTCTTTCAAAGCGCTATTCGCAGTATAATTAAATGATACTCAAGCTTTTAACTTTGATTTATTTCATTTCTTGAAGCTTGAGACAGTGAGAGCTGTACATTGTCATTTTTATTTTTTTTTATTTCCTTGAAAATTAGCTGGGCTGTTGTTGCGGTACAAATTAAACACCTAAGCACTTACTTAAAGCGGCCAGCACAAGCCACATGTCAACAGCCCCCTCTTCCAGCTTCGTGTCCAGACTTCTTCATACTCACATTCGGGGATACTGCTCATAGGATTCCCTTTCAGCTGCTATCATTTATTATTTTCCTTCCAAACAGGGCAAGAGAAAGGCAAGCCCGGGAGCAGTGCAAGAAAGCGCAATTGGGTTAAGGACCATGGATAGAGCCTGTGGCTTCTTCCCCCTCCCATCCCACCCCCCCACCCCCCCGTCCCACACACAGAGGAGACTTCCTAGGACATTGCCCTCCTAACTTGAACCCGCTATCCTTGAGGACAGGGATGGAGAACACGACACTCCCCAACTCGCGGCCAGGGCGTTGACCACTCTAGGGTTCCCCTTTGCCACTCTTGTTGTTCGGTTTTTGTCCCAGAGTGTGCCAGAACCTCTCAGGCTTGCCTCCTGCTTCCGCACCTGCTCTCCTTCCCCAGACGCCATGCCTGCACCTGCGCCCGGCCACTCCGTCCCGTTCCGGCTAAGCGAAGACTCTTGCGTCCAGGTCGCGGGCTTTCTCACACTAGTCTTGTCCCGCTCCATCCGCACTCTGAGAAGGAGACTGATCAGCCCCCAACACCACGGGATGTAGAGAAAAAACCAGAGTGGGGAAGAGGTGCGTGTGTGTAGAAGAGATTGTCATTCTTTTGCAGAGTGCTGTGTTCACTTGTAAGAAAAGTGCCCCGCACTGGGACAAAAGTGCAAGCAAAGTGTGAGCTAAAAATAGGCGCTCTCTGAACTGTGGAAATAAAGTGTGGCTTGTGCCAACCCTCTTCACCCCCATGTTTGTGTGTGTGTGTATTGGAGGGGGGAATGATATTCTGCAGCACATGCGCTCTGTGATCTCTGGCCTTCTCCCCTCCCACTGTTAGTTAGTTGCCCCTTCCCCCTTTGATTGTGGCTAATGAGGAATAATAAGTCTCGTGTCAAGGTTTGCCAGTGGATCCGCCCAAGATCCAACTCACACTCTGTACTGGATATTGAGAAGTACAGGAAGAAGTAGAGGAGGAGTTGGAGGAGCAGGATCTAGAAGAAGAGAAAAGGGGGTGAGAGAAGTGAGTGTGAGTGTGTGTGGGTTATTCAGGGGGGAGGAGTCGCATGCGCAAAGGCGACCCGAGCGGGCTCTGCGGCTGTCCAATCCGCTGAGAGCTGCTAGAAATCGAGTGAGAGAAAGCCCCGCAGTCTCGTCGACCCTATGTCTCTCAGGCACGCGACACCCGACAGTCCGAGGGGGGGCGGAACCGAAAGCCAACTGCCGCGCGTATTAGGCTGGGCGTGTAGAGCAACGTGGAAGAGCGGTTGGGCTTCAGCGTCCGTGCTTTTCGCAATTGACAGAAGCTTAGGATCAGGGTCACTGGAGCTGCTGGGAGGGGCAAGCCAAATTGGAGGGTGGGAGCTGGAAATAAGCGGGAAGCAGAAGGAGGGGGAGGAGGACACCAGGTAGGTAATAGACTCTCCAAGTAGTCTAAGAAAAAACCTGTCCCAGGCTGGTTTGGATCACAACTTTACATGGGAGTTTCTTTTCTTGGAGAGACTAGGACTGGGCAGAAGAAGCGAGAGGGACGGAATACTGGCCACTTAGGTTGGAAGTGCCAGGCTGCTGGAGAGAGAACCTGGAAGGTTGGGTGGGGTTGAGCGCCAGTGTAAGTGGGAGCAGCGGGGCGCCAGGGAGGGGCCACACATCAGAGCGTGGGCGGGGGTGAGGAGGGGAGACTGGGGGCGCGGCGGGGAAGCGGTAGGCGGGGGCCGAGAGTGCAGAAGGGATTGAAGCCTGGGGAAATCCAAGAGGGAGAAGGGGCGACTGGAGAAACCCGGTAGGAGCGGCGCTTCCTGGCAGGGGAGGGAGTAGGCGCACCGGAGGGAGGGAGGAGGGCGGGGGGCGTGGGGGTAGGAGCGGGGAGAGGGGATTATAACACGGCGGCCGCGAGGCACAGGGCAGTTTAGGGCGGTGAGGTCTGCAACCAGAGCCAAACTAAAGAGGGCATCAGCTCATACCAACACCAGAGGCAGCCGAGAAGCGCACAGCCGGGGCTTGGCGCGCACAGTCGGGAAGCTGCGGCGAGTAAGCGCAACTTCGCTTAGCCCTTCTCAGCTTAGGCTCCCGTCGCGTGTTTCTCCAGAGGGTCTTGTCAGCGGGTGCCGGTGCGCTTTGGACAAGCGCGCGGGCAGTCGGGAAGATGATGATGATGTCGCTTAACAGTAAGCAGGCATTCAGCATGCCGCACGGCGGCAGCCTGCACGTGGAGCCCAAGTACTCGGCACTTCACAGTGCCTCTCCCGGCTCCTCTGCGCCCGCGGCGCCCTCGGCCAGCTCCCCTAACAGCTCCAGCAATGCTGGCGGCAGTGGCGGCGGCGGCGGCGGCCGGAGCAGCAGCGTCAGTAGCAGCGGGAGCAGCGGTGGCAGCGGGGGCTCCGAGGCGATGCGGAGAGCGTGTCTTCCCACCCCACCGGTGCGTATTTCTGCATAATCACCGCTTAAAGGCACATTTTGACAGCCCCCTTTATCTGCTTGATGTTTTTTTCATGTCTGCACAGCAAATCATCCCACACCTCCAACCAATTTCCCCCCTCTCCCTCTTATGTATTCAGTGGGTCTTGCCTTTCATATTAATTTTTATGACCTGGGATGTTGCTTGTGCGCGTGTTGTGTTGTGTTTGTATCTGTGGGCTCACTTTCCTCCTCCTCCAGCACTCTCGGCTTCTCTCCGTGGCTTCCCTCCTCTTCTCACCTCCAATTTTCAGGATTATTATTACTATTATAATTTTAACGTACTGGGAATGTTGTAGGAGCTGCAGCGGTGTCAAGCGCCAGGCCGGAGCTTCCGGGAGAGCACGCACAATTCCCTGCTGAGCGTAATGTGTGCCTTTTACTTGCAATTGCAGAGCAATATATTCGGCGGGCTGGATGAGAGTCTGCTGGCCCGCGCCGAGGCTCTGGCGGCCGTGGACATCGTCTCCCAAAGCAAGAGCCATCACCACCATCCGCCTCACCACAGCCCCTTCAAGCCGGACGCCACCTACCACACGATGAACACCATCCCGTGCACATCAGCAGCTTCCTCATCTTCGGTGCCCATCTCGCACCCGTCCGCGCTGGCGGGCACACACCACCACCATCACCATCACCACCATCACCACCAGCAACCGCACCAGGCACTCGAGGGTGAGCTGTTGGAGCACCTGAGCCCCGGGCTGGCCCTGGGCGCCATGGCGGGCCCCGACGGCGCCGTAGTGTCCACACCGGCCCACGCGCCGCACATGGCCACCATGAACCCCATGCACCAAGCAGCCCTCAGCATGGCCCACGCTCACGGGTTGCCCTCGCACATGGGCTGCATGAGCGACGTGGATGCCGACCCGCGGGACCTGGAGGCGTTCGCAGAGCGGTTCAAGCAGCGACGCATCAAGCTTGGGGTGACCCAGGCCGACGTGGGATCTGCGCTGGCTAACCTCAAGATCCCCGGCGTGGGCTCGCTTAGTCAGAGTACCATCTGTAGGTTCGAGTCCCTTACACTGTCCCACAATAACATGATCGCTCTCAAACCCATCCTGCAGGCGTGGCTCGAGGAGGCCGAGAAGTCCCACCGCGAGAAGCTCACCAAACCGGAGCTCTTCAACGGCGCAGAGAAAAAGCGCAAGCGCACGTCCATTGCTGCGCCAGAAAAACGTTCGCTTGAAGCCTACTTTGCCATCCAGCCGCGGCCCTCCTCCGAGAAAATCGCTGCGATAGCAGAGAAACTGGACCTTAAGAAAAACGTGGTGCGCGTCTGGTTCTGCAACCAAAGGCAGAAACAAAAAAGGATGAAATATTCTGCAGGCATTTAGGAGATCCTGGACCTCTCCAGGGACTGGCCCCTCCGCGTCCTTTCTTTTCCCTCCCTCTCTCTCCTGCCTTTTTCCTTTCCATTTTTGGCGACCAGGAACAATTCCGGAAAATGTGAATCCAGAGAAAGTTGAGGGTTGGAGAGGAAGAGAACGAGTGAGCATCCGCCCGAGCGCAGCCAAAATGTGACAAGGTTTCTGAAAGGGGGGGGAACCCCCACAAAAACAAAGCAAAACAAACAAACAAAAAAAACCACTAGCTTTTGAGCTAGTTGTAGGGAAGTTATCCTTCTCAACCCCACCGGGAAAAGACATCTTGGCTTCTTCAGAGGGAGCCTGGAGCTGGCTGTTTGCAGGAAGGCAGACGATACAGCTTTTTAAAAGGCCCCAAGAATGATCAAGTAAGATTTGTTTTTATTCTTAAAGACATCACCCTTGTTCAAGTTTAAAAGTACACTTTGCAGCTATTTTTCAGAAATAGAAATTGATTCAGAACTGAAACTTTAAACTAGAGTTGATGCTTAATGTGATAAAAGAGACATCTCTAAAGTATTTTGAATTTTAAAAAAGATGGCAGATTTTCTGCATTTACACTGTATATGATATACATACATATATAAATATATATATATTTTTATTGTGGTTCTTAGCCCTGTTTTCCTTCTCTGAAGTGTTAATGCTTAAGAAAGGAATTGCGCCTGCTGTGTTCACTGATCTTCATAGCTATTATTAGATTATTGCCGAACAACCCTCTGTAAATTATTAATTTATCTCTCTAGCAACTTAATTTTGTGCACATTCTAATTAAACTTCTTTAATCTTAAAATATGGGGCATATGTATGGTTACTGAACTTCAGAAAAATTATGTTTGACGAGTTTCCTGAATTTTTACAAATTTTCTCTTACACTGGGTTCCTTTTGGCCCATTTGTATATTATCACTTTGAATGAAGACTGTTATATCTTTGTTTTTACTGGTAATGTTCTGGTTTGTGAGTCAACACTCAGTAATGAACGTCTTATTGGTGCAGACCTAATTCACTGTCTCAAGTATTGTTTACTTCGTTACATATTTAATGGGGATTCCCACATTGTCCCCACTACATACACACTTTCTCACCCATCCTTACACACATGCACACATCTCTATTGGGAGAGAAGCAGTTGGAAACATGACAATAGTCCTATAATTCGTCATTTTCTACCTTTGGGTGCATTTGCCATTTGGTGTTTGCCATTCAAGAGCCTAAGATTTTACCAAAATATTTCAACCTTCCAATTTTCAATTGCTTTGTTTGATATACTTTAACATTCACAAGAATCTTTTGTTTTTCCCTTTTGGAGTTTTGTAGAAAACTAACTTGAATGATAAGAAAGATGGTGCACTGCTTGTAAATTCACAATGTTTGGTAGAATACTTTTGGAAAAAAATATTAGGTACACAATGGCTGGTACCTTATCTATTGTAAATATCTCATTCAAAATGATGCACATATAGATATATTCTTACAAACTTTGTTGTATTGCTGTTCTGTTTGAGGTTCTCTGAAGTCTTCAGTTCTGTATATGACCTCGTTTCTTGTTTTTGTTAATAGATGGTTTATTTACAATGGTAATGTATTAAGTTGTTTTTGGTGTTTGATTGTCTTTCATTGAAGAAATGATTTTAATGTTTTATTGGCAAAGTATGCTGCTTTTTTCATGAAAATGTGCTATTACAATTAAATGGCTTTAAAAATGTGATGTTGTTTAATCATTTAAGTGGGACTTAGTTTGGTGGTGGGCAAGTTCTTAGAAGCACATTTTAATGCTTTATTAAGAGCTGGTTGCTATTAGTATCCAGTTTGAACTGACTAAAGGGTGTTTCTTTAGGAAAGTATAAATGAACATGGTTTATAACAGACTTTCAAAAGCTGGAGCACATCTCCCAGAATGCTTTGCTTTTCTGTTTGAATATGTACTTGTCTTCAGATACCTCCCTTGGAATGAATTCTTCAGAACTGCAAAGGAGAGAATCTGTGAACTGGGGTGTTGGATAGAAACAGTTTTATCTATTCCTTTCTGTCTCCTATGGGTAAAAGGAAGCATACTTTTTATCAGCTTTGGGAAACTGAGTGTGTCAAAACTCTAAGCCCAGGTTATGGAAGTAAGGTGTCCTGGTTGGGGCCTAAAGACTGGCCCATGATGGTTCTCAGTCAGCCACCACTGCTGTAAAACCTCAAACCAGAAAAGGAAGCATTTGGATTAGGAAGATCCTCTCCTCTTTCTCCTCCCCACACAGTTCTCATAACCTTTAGGGAAACTCAATTCTTGTATAAGGTATAGTGAGGATGAGAAGGAGATTCTGAATGGTTAGAAGAAACACATATTTGTCCCCTTCTTTGAATCACCTAGACACTAAAGTTGGTGAAAGTCAGTCTAATGGGTGGCTTGGGACAAATAAAATATTCTCAATTTGACACATAGACTTTCCTTTTTCTGACTGTAGTCTAAAGAGATTTCCTTAACCTATTTTAAGAGTTTTCATATTCCCTACAACAGTTAAGCAACATATTAAGGGTTTCAAAGTTTTAAAATGAAGGCTTTGGTTTAGATATTTATATTATTATTGTTGAAAACATCATACTAGCATAAAGATCAAACAAGAGGAAGGACCTAGGTCATACTCTAGAAGTAATTTTGATAAACTGAGCTTCGACCTCTGTGGCATGCAACTGTCTTGGGATGGCTCTTAGCTGAGGAATGTGGCTAGGTTCCTAACTAATCCGTGAGTCAATGCAAATTACTATGGTGATTCAAGATGGGATTAAGTGTTACTGGAATAGTGATAATGATATAACGAAAAGAGTTGTGAAAGTTGGATGAAAGAAGAGTGGAAGTATGTGCTTTTTTATACAATTGAAGCAAGGAAAATGCCTAAAGAAACAAAATTATGTGTCTTCTAAGATAATAATGAAATAGAGTAAATAGTTAAAACTCATAGAGATTTCAAAGAAAGAATTGTGCACTCAGGTATAGTGATATTGATGGTTTAGTTTTATTCCCACATTCTGGAAATCCTTTCGTCCTTTTTTTTTTCCCTCCCCAAAATCTTTCAGTCAGCCTCCCATATCTCTATGTTGGGTTCCGATTTCAGCACCACGGATAGCAACTATGGGATTCCACCTTTGTCCAAGCAGTTTCAGCCTAGAGAATTTTGGCTTGTTCACTTATTCCAGAGTGGGGAAATGAATGACCTAAACAGAATGTGTAATAGATTTGTTGACCAGTAATACCTTACCCTTCATAAATGTGTTACTAGGAACTAAGGTATGTCTATTAAGAGAAAGTAGAGTTTGTTTATAGGAATAAAGACAGGTTTATTAGTGTCTTTTTACAAATATTAGATCCTTAAATGAAGATAGACATTCTGCAAAGTAGTAGAAATTAAAATTATATTTAATAAAATTAAATGTGTTTATTATTTTTAGTAGATTTTGAGGTATATGACAGGTTGTGTGCATGTCCAAACTTGTTTTGGATATGCACACTTTGGAAAGTGACAGACCAGCAACTATCTATTTAATTCAGCAGTTAAGAGTGAAGGTCTGTATGTCTCCCAATTCACCAATAATTATTTGTCTACTGCATTCTACAGTCTTAAAACTATTGTATCTTAAGTTAATCTACTATGGTTTATTACAAGGCCAAAACTTTGTTGCCTACAAGATGGATTTTTTTCCCATTCCTAGAACCTGCTAAGATGTGTTCATTTGGAGAGAAAAACAAAATCTTAAAAGAAATGTATTTGAATGAGATGCAAAGATAAACCAAAGAAATTTGAAGAGAAGATGGTTGCTCTCAGAGAAGTTAAAGGTAAGAGTAGAATGTACCATGCTTAAATTGTTCAGAAAGATCCATTTGGTGTGGACTTTCAAAATATTACTGTAGATAACTAGCAAAAGGTAGCTGGAAATCTGTCATATTTATCAAGTACGTTGGCATTCATAACTCATTTTCTATTTTTTTTTTCTCAAGGACCTCAATTATTAACTGACTTAGCAGTATACCTAGACAAATTTGATGTTTCACAATAATGTAGTTTATTAAAAAACAAAAACAAACCAACTTCTCTACAAGCAAGATGATCAAATATTTCTGTTCATTGTGATTATTTGAATCCAAACTAGGATGGAACAGCAAAGGATTATTTAAGCCTTAGTTGATAATATAAGTACTCTCTACATTAAAACATTGTTTTAAAAGAATGACTTTTCCTTTGGATATTTGACATTAAATCAGTTGTCAGTTCTTTTTAATTAATCAGATTAAGTTTCACTGATAGAAAATTTAAGGAAAATAATGAAAATATTAAAAAGCAAATTAAATATTTAAAATAACATAGTACTATATTTTTCTAGAAAATACATCTTAAAAATATATAGCAGTACATAACTAAGTCTTGTTTTCTACCAAGAACAGATCCTAGGACCCATGTATCTTTGCCAAGAGAATTGTATTTTTGACCAAAAAATACACCAAATTTGAGGGTAAATGCTCTAAAGTTTAAAATTTGATCTTTTGGGGGAAGTCCCTAATGAGATGTTGGGAAAGGCACTGAAAGACTCACTTTATTTTTAAAACATTCTTTAAAAGATGATGTGAATTTTTTTTTTTTTTTTCTGGGTACGCCATGACAGTATGTTTAGAAATGCATCTTTGCAGTTGTTTGGTGAAAATAATTTATTTCTCTAGGTAAATGAACCCATTGGAACTTAAACTGCACTTTGCTTTCCACTTGGCTTCTGTGAAAGAGGCTGAAGCAGAAGAGGGGAAAATAACTTGGATTGGTATCCTGATAAGACAAAAAGACAAAGGTTTTGGATAGTTACGATGGTAGAATTGTTCCTGAAGTCCACATTTGTCAAGAGACAGATTTATGGCAATGGGAAAGAAATCACTAAACCTCTCCCCCACCCCTCCCTTTACCCCTTTAAAAAGAGCCATTCCCAGTACTGAAAGGC